ACAGGCTCCGGACTACTGGCGCTGCAGGCGACACGACGGCAGCCTCCACGCAACTTCCCCCAACTGTCCCACCCCCCCTTTCACACACCCCCTGCGGCACCCCTAGCTCCACTCCCACGACACCCCCCTAGTACCACTCCTTCGGCTCCCACACACCCACCCCCCTCAGCGGCAGCTGCAGCAGTGGGAGACGGAGGAGGAGGAGGAGCAGGGGACAGCCCCATACCCTGAGTGTGCGGTAAGCGAACTCAGGTGTGCGGAAAGCGAACTCGGGTGCGCGGAAAGCAAACTCAGGTGTGCAGGGAGAGGGGCCGCAGGGTGACGCGCGGGCCGACTGGGACGGGCGCACGGGTCCCCGGGGGCGGCGTGCGGGTCTATGGGGCCGCCGCGAAGGGCGACGGGGAGCCGCTCGCGGGTCGACGGGGCCGCCGTGAAGGGTGACGGGGAGCCGCGCGCGGGTCGACGGGGCCGCCGCGAAGGGCGACGGGGAGCCGCGCGCAGGTCGACGGGGACAGGCGAGAAACCGCCATGCGCCCCGAGCACGTGGCGGGCAGAAAACCGCCATGCGCCAGGAGCGCATGGCGGGAAGAAAAAGCGTCGCGCGCCAGGAGCGCATGGCGGGAAGAAAAAGCGTCGCGCGCCACGGGGCGCGCGACAGACAGGAAAGCAGCGGAAGCTTTAGGTGGGCCCACAGGCCAAGAGCGTAACAGCTCTGATTCCATGTCAGAATACTAGGTAGAACTAGTAGCCATAGCTAGGATTTAGGGTACACGAAAGAGAAATGGAAGAAGAAGGATTGCACTAGCAAGAGTTGGGATACAAATAGCAAACCCTAAATTGGGTTGTACTCGCTATAGAGTACCCCACTGCAGTCTAGACAATAATAACATTATGACAGGCTCGCCATGAACCCTAACAGCTGTCAGAATCAACTGTGCAGGAATGAATGAACTGTGAATGAGTTGGGTACAAGTACTAACCCTAAAGTGTTGTACCCTTTGTAGGCTAACCCACTATAGCCTAGAGAGAACACGAACATAGAGTTCGCCAACAGCCTGCATCATATTTTTACTCACACACCTATAGACACGATAGAGTATGCACAGTGGTGGCAACTAGCACAGGTGTTGGATGCAGAGGGGCAGTAGCTTACCTGAATTCAAGCGCTGTATGTGGAACAAGTGAGGTTGGTGGAGCCATAGATTCTAGCAAATGGTGGGTTTCCTAGACGGGGATGGCATGAGATATGAGGCAGATTTGTCGTGTCCTGTATGCTACTTGCCCTTTGGATGGAACCGTCGAGGAAAAAAGGCTTCGCCCTCGCTTGGGCGAAGCCGACCATGCCTTTCGGAGCACCACGGTTTTCATTTTGTGGTCATCTGCAACTTTAGGGACTGTTATCAGTGTGCGAAAGCCTCTGGGACTCTGATCTCTGTGCGACGGGCCGTCTTTCAAGGAGATTAATTCCTCGAAAGTGTGTTTTCTGCTCGACGAAAATGTCCGTCGACGAGGTGCTTATGGACGGGAGTGAATCGACGTCGAAGACGAGCCTCGTTTTTTTTTTTTTTTTTTTTTTTTTTTCAGAATTGGCGAAATTGCGTTTTCGACGGAGTGTTGGTCGACAGAATTGTGCTCGACGAGTGCATCGTCGAGCAGAGCGTTTTTTGGCCGAGCGACATAACCTGTCTCCGAAATTCGCAATGTGAGCGAATTTCGACCAATCGCGAAACAACAAATTTCGACCAATCTCGGAAATTGTACTCCCCAGGAAAATTTGATTCAATAAAAAAAACCGAACATGAAGCACGGTTTTACTAACAGTAAAAAACGTGCACAACTATGAACGTTGTAGAAGATGAGAACCAACTTTGTCATGTGAAAACCACATTGCATTGTCGTTTCGCCTGCCATTGCTGACTCGACAAAGGTGCTTGCTTGTCGATAAACGTTTCTCCAGGGTTCTTTGTCTTCACTATTTGGTTCTCCTTCCTTGTACCATAATCTTGTTCTATCAACTTTTCCTAATGAATCTATGCTTGAATTCTATCAAGGCATTCTAACACTTTGTCAAGAATCACTGCCAGAACTCTGACCGTGCGTCCCACACAATTCAGCTCTCCCGTACGATAGCATTCCCCGTAGGAACAAGATGCGCATCTAGTGCCAACTGAAAGCGCATGATAAGTTGCCATGTTATATACTCATTTTCTCATTCGAGTGTGTCCAATGCGGTAGGAGCAGCAGCACAGGGATAGCATGAGGTGGCAATGCACTCACATGGAAACAATGTAACCATCATGGTCGCAACGGATTCACTCTATGGCCATGCAGTTCGCATGGCACCGCCCGTGAGAGTGTGACGGCTTGCTTGCTTGATTTTATTATAGTTATACCACCGAACCAGGATTGCATGCACCGAATTCGTGCTATTCGGTTTCCACCAAACAGCTTCTACCGAATAGGCTCCATTCGGGACGCTTCGCGACCCTTGGAACCTTTGCGTAACACCTAGGTTACTGGCAAGGACGCAGTGAGGGGCGGATGAAATGAGGCGAAGACGGGGCGAGGCACAGATGAGACGCAACATACGGAAGAATGGCAAAGCGCCGAGGCCGAGGCAAGGCCGTGCCATGGGAGTGCTAGAGGGGCAGTTGGGCATGCTGGGATCTGCACGTTCCACTAAGGGCACCAGGGTGGCACACTCTCTAGCTCTGAGCAGCGTCAATCCCCTCACATCCAAGGTGGGTGTGGTAAACCTAGTAGCGTACAATCTCTCGGGTGCAGTCGCACCGCCCCTGCACCCCCATACGGCCGCGAGGCACGCCAAGCTGCTCAGCAGCAGCATACGATGGTGCGACTCCACTACCCGATACTCATGTTGGGATAAAATACGACAGGCGGAACGGGCGGATGATGATGAAGATGATGATGATGATGATGATGATGATGATGATGATGATGATGATGATGATGATGATGATGATGATGATGATGATGATGATGATGATGATGATGATGATGATGATGGCAGTGGATGTGCTCCATCACATATGTATTACACGCGTGAACAAGGAAATACCGAAAACCTGCCCACTTACCGAGAGCACCAGCGAACGCACGCCGGGGCTCGCTTTGCGCCAGCGTGCCGGCGGACACGGTGCGTGTCGCGAGGGGTTCAACTGGTGATAAGGCCTCATAGATTGCTCGGTACAGCGCCGTGCCCGTTTGCGTGGAGGAGCCAGCGCACTAGGGCATGGCTGCGGGCTCAATAGATGGTGCACGTGGACCCAGTTCGGCTCAGAGCCGTTAATGCGAGTGGTGAGCTAGTAGATTACTCAAGAATTTTGCAAAAATCTCAGCCAAAAGCCCAAAAGTTATAGGGGTGGAATAATGGGTGTAACTTACATACATGGATGAAAGAGGATGTTCTTTTACAGTATCGATAGGTGCTGGAAGTCGTTGGCGAACGAGGAAATTTTTGCGAACTGAGATGGCGTGAACTGAACCTACTGAGGGCCCATTCCAGTTCGTTACGTACAACAAGCAACTTTGTACTTAACGATGGTAGTACGTTTTTTGCAACTCCCCGTACTGCGACGGTCCAGAAAAGTTGAAGGGTCTGCGACCTGCACAAGTCGTTCGGAAGAAATCGTTCGTACGAGGCCTGAATTGTGTTCTACTAGCCTTTGTCCCACCATCCCAGGCGCAACACGCCCCCCTCAGCGCAAGCTGCTCATAATGCCGTATCTGCTTCACAATCTTGCTATCAATTGCTATCACAAGTTCTCCCAGTGCACCTGCGTCCACTCATAGCACACATGTGAGGCATATTTTTTTCAGATAGAAACTGCTTCGACGGAACGAGCTAAGGGCGTGTCCCGGAATTACGTATTTTGCAAAATAACTTTTTAAACCACTTTAAACTTTAAATAGACCGCTCTAGGCCGTACCAAGCACCGAGCCGCATTCGGACGCATTCTCGGCGATTGCATTCAATACGCACCGCGTCTTGGATCCATGCCGACACGCCGGGTGAGCTTGCCATGAAATGCAGACCGCAGCGCTCCATGTTCCCTCCCGTGCTTGACATGGCTCCTTGCCGCGCATCGGACTCCCAACTGTCGTATGGGGTGACATGCCAGACACACCAGAGCCCTGACGGAAACCTAGACTATCGTCTACTTCTTGTCTTTTAAGCCCTATCAAAAACGATCGTGCTGCCCTAAGCGCGCAGATCGTCTCACAGGCGGCTCCGCCTTTCATTCAGGCCTTTCTCATGCGACAGGTAGCTGCACAATCCGTTGTGTCTCCCGCCGCATCTGCCAAGAGCCTCTTGCAGCCCTGGGTTCTCCCGTCTCATCAGGCATTGGCGTCCTTTCTCGGCTGTTTGAAACAGCTCTAGAACTTGATTCTCCTTTTCTGCGCGTTTTCTCTTTGGCCGCGTTCCCATCCTCCGTGCTCGCCGTGTAACGCCTGCGGGCTTACACGAAGGGTTGGTGGTACGGCATCCACTGCACTCTACTATGAGATCCCCGTTTAGACCCAATGGACAGGGGGGCCCGCATTATACTGGAACCGAAACTTAGGGTTTTATTCCTGGCTGGGTCACGTTTTATGCTCATAAGGAGAACTCAACTATGGTAATTCAGAGTCGAACCCGGTTAATTATCTTCCGCTGGCCCGACCAGACCAACCAACGAGTGAAGTTTGCTGTGCCACCCAGCGAAATGGAGTTCCCTGCGAGGGCCGATTCCCTGAAGTTATGAACCAACGAGGACGTTGGCTCGCGGGGGGAGGGGTGGGGTAGAGGACGCTGGGTGCAACATGGACTTGTAAGGCAGCCACAAGCCTGCAGGCTCTATAACAGCCCCATCTTGACTGTGTGTAGCGCGGCGTGGTAATCAGAGTGCTTGAAGGAACCTCCCGTGCATCATTACTAGTCGTCCCACCACCCCAACGCACAACACCTTGACGGTGCTTCTTTTTGTTTGTGCGTGCAGTTAGCGTCGCACCAAGGGATGGAGCTGTACCGCCTGCTGCTTCCCAGCCTTGCGTGCCTGCTCGCACTCAGGGGAGTAGCGTCAGTGCGATTGTACCCAGGCGAAGGTAGGGCTGGGAACTCCATTGCGTTGCTGCTGCATTGACTAGACCAGCAGCTCATTCTGCCACTTGCCCATCTCATCCCAGTCTTGCTGAACCACCTCCACCCTCACCTTTTCTCTTCGGTCTGGCTCACTCCTACTGAGTTTCTCCATCCTTGACTTGCCCATCCACGCCTCCTTCCAGTGGACAACCTCTTGGAGCTGGCTAGCTGGTGGAACAACTTCCAGGGCAGCGAGACATGGCAGATGCGCTATGCGGACTGCATGGCTCTGTATGGCATTGCCTGCGACAGAGACGGATTCGTCACTGACCTGTGAGAGCTCCACCCTGCCGTCATGTTGCCACAGCATGCGGTCAGTTTCACATCACAATGCGCATGCTCCCGTCACATCGTGCATGCATGTGCATGTCGTGGCTGGTTGGTAGCCCACCAGGGCCAGCGCAAGTATGGGATGGGAGTGCCAGGCTATGTTGGGTCGGACGCGTCCAGCGTCCATAACACTGGACGGGAACCGATCCCCCCTAGGACGCCCCCCGGATGCTGGTCAGGGCAGCCAGAAAAGTTTCCTGGGCAGGGAACAGAACTAGTAGGGAGGGGGGGAGAGGGGGCTCGTGGGGCAAAACAGGAAATGGAAGAGTTCGAGTAGATCTGAAATTTGAAATCACCACCTAGTTTCTGCTGGCCGATTCTGAAATCGGTTTGTGCTGGTTTTGTAGATTCAGTGCGGTGAAGTTAGGTTAAGGGAGCAAATTTGGTGGGGTTGGCAAAGTTCCTGTGATAGCCTGGAAGGTGGGGTTAAAATTCGAGGGCTTCCATTCCACTGACTTGACCTGGCCAAAAGTCCGGTCGGTTTACCCAATCCAACCGGGTCAAATGCTCATGCCTATAACACATGGGTCAGAAGGACTTGGGTTCAAATCTTGCGTGCAGCTAAGTTAGAATGTACACTCAAGTCCTTTTGCGTTTTAAGTTTATTCACTTTTATGGAGGAACGTGACCGCCACGCGGACCAACCCCTATGGAGGAACGCCGCCTCGTGCTTTTTCGCGTGCGGGGTCGTCGTATGTCGCTTCGAGGAGCCGTGCCATCGGTGGTGTCGGCCTCCAGAAATGTTGCAAGCGCATTGAGACGGCGCTTGCACCGATCACACCGAGCTGGCGGCGGCACGCGGCGGGATGGAGTAACTGTGGCGAGCGATATGATGGCCGACTCACCCGCCGTCCGCAGGCGAATGTGCTCCTCATCAGTGATAGCGTCGCCGTCTTCACAAAATCTGTCGACACAACGATGGAACAGCAGACGGGGGGTGACATCGCAGGACTATCTCAACCCGTCCTCAAGAAATTTGGACCGGAAAATGTGGATTCGTTTTGTATGGACGGTGGCACTAACTATGCGGCGGCGTGCAAGGAGCTTATGGGGGAGCATCCCCACATTGAGCACATACCTTGTGCTACTCATGTCTGTCCTCGATCTCTTGATGGAGGACATTGGGAAGTTGTCGTGGGCGAAGGACATCGTCACCCGGGCGGCCGGCATCATCAACTTTGTGTGGAATGGCCACTTCACGCGGGGCTGTTTGAGAAGCCCTCTGGTCAACAGCGGGAAAGGCAAGCAGGTGCTGAAACCCGCGGGTACCCGCTTCGGCACACAATTCATCATTGGTCCTGTCTTTGCGAAGTCCGCATTTCCCTTTTGCAGATGGTTCTGAGCGAGGAGGGGAGGGTCGGGGCAACAAGCGCACGGAGGCTTTCAACGACCGGATCCTGGACGAGTCATGGTGGAAGCTCGCCGAGTTCTTCACCAAGCTAATGGAGGTGCCGTTTGTCGTGATGCGGGCCACGGATGCCCGCATGACGCCCTGCTGGGGCGCCTCTATGACGCCGTGCTGCAGCTCACCGTGGTCACGCATGACATCCTCGACGAGCACGCCGAGGGTAACTTGTCGAGGAGGGAGTTGGCGGAGATACGCCGCATCGTTAAGGAGAGGTGGGATAAGGGATGGCGTGCGCCATGCACGTGGTTGGCTTGGCAGGATCTTGAATCCTGTCGACCAAGAAGAGGGGATTTTCGAGAATGTTATCGAATGCACACGCTTGTTCAAGTCATTAATTCCCAAGCACTACGAGCACCTCACCATCACTGGGAATGACGGCGTGGAGCCCCGTGCATCCCTTGTGCTGCACGAGGGACTGTCAGCGTGCTTGAGCCTCCAGGGGAGCTTTGGGATGCCAACAGCCATTGCTGGTCGTGCGGCGGTGAAGGAGGAGAAGATGGTGCCCAGTGGTGGGGATGGCACAGCACAGCACAGACTGTGCCGAGCTTACGCTGGCATGCCGCGTTCTCTCACAGCCGGTGTCCGCGGTGGCTTGTGAGAGGAACTGGGCAATGTGGGACGCAGTCCACACGGCAAGGCGCAACTGCCTTGGATCTGAGAAGTGCAGCGATCTAGTGTTTGTTGCGCACAACTGGCAAGTTGTGCATGATTTGTCCTCGGTCTCCGTGGGGCAGGGGTTGGTCGCGGGCAACATTCCAGAAGCCCCAACTTCAGAGGGCTACATGGTGGAGGAGGGGAGGAGGAAGAGGGTGGTGAGGATCTGGGTTTTAATGATGAGCATGCATAGACTAGACTGTATGCATGTCGTATGGTATGTCGATCGCGGTAGTGGAGTGGATATGCATTTTTTTGTCAGAGGCAGCGTTTCCTTGTAACACAAGTCTAGTCTGGCTTTCGGTTCAGCCCAACCCAGCTCGACTGAAATTGGTTTATGTTCAACCAGTAATCTTGCCGAATGTACACCAGTGGTATCAATAAATTTGAACCTACCTAGTGGGAGTTGTTTGTGGTCTATGATGGCGTTGACGTCTCAAGTGTCATTATTGCTGGCATCAAACGGCTAGTGTTCGGACGCTTGACTCACCGTTGGAGAAACCGTTGAAGCTCGTTCAACACTTGGTCGGGCCGAAAATTTTAAACTGGGCAGGCAAAATAAAAGCCCCTGGTAGAAACAACAGCTCAGGAGGAAGTGCAGGAGACTACCGGGGGAGGAATTCCATGTATCCTCACTTACTTTTAAACACGTGCATGGGTTGGGCTAGGTAGAGGGGCAATTTGTACTCCACTTCCCAACTTGCCGAAATTGATACTTGTGGCCCACAGATTTGCCAACAGTGTTGTCCCTAACCAATTTCCCTCTCCTTACCGATTTTCAGCGCACACAATCTAGATAGCCCAACCGATTTCAGATCTGAAAATTGGCAGTGACTTCTTCTATATATTGTATGCCGCGCCAATGCGGCGCTTTTTGCATTTTTTTTTCAAGCAAAAACGAACAAACGTTTTCGTTCCCTGTCTGCCCGCATCAAGTGCCAAACGTCGCGTCCAGCGTCTAGCATCAAAAAGTAACGTTTTAATGCTTGACGCTGCCCTGTTTCAGCGTTATTGCCATCATTGGTTGGCGTATATGTGAATAATGGCATGGCAGTTTCATGTCATAATTATTGTATATCTTTTTTGCACATGGCCAATCATGTAGTCGGACACCCCTCGTTTCTGTTGCAGAGTTTTACAAGCGGGGAGCTTTAATGCACCAATACCTGACATGATCAGCCGGTTGCAACACCTCACACGCCTGTGAGCCCATACAGTGCAACTCTGCAGCACTACCATCTGAGCAGACCATGTGACATGGTAGAGCTTATTAATCGAGTGCGATGGATGCATTAAGGCAAACGTAGATGATTCCACAAATCTGCATGTGCTTGCTACACACCAAGAGTGTGTCATTCAATCTCTCTCTCTAGCAGTGCAATGATATTGACAGGCAAGAAGGCACGCATAGAAGGCCCTGTCACCGTCGCTTAATTTCTTTACCCTCAATTTACACTTTTCATTACCCCACTCTTGCCCCCTTCCAGTTTACCCACTTTCATTTGCTCTTCCTTCCCAAATTGTCTTGCCTTCCATCGCTGCCTCTTCTCTAGGGCACTCCCCTTTTGCCAGCTTACAGGCACCCTTTCTGAATCCCTCTTCAGTCTCACATCGCTCATCGCCATGTAAGTGCACCCTGCGCCCATTGTGTCGTCAGCGGTGAATCCACCTCATCTCGTGTTTGGATTCTGAATGCTCGCTCACTACTGATTCTTCCATCCACCCCGTGCCTGTCACTTCTGCTGCAGCGATTTTTCAGGAAATCTCATCACAGGGACTATTCCCGCTGCTTTCAGCCGCCTGACCAACTTGCGATTGCTGTGGGTAACACTTGCACTGAAAAGCATAGAGCTTGCCATGCAACGTCTCGTGATGGATGGTGGTGGGGGAACTGGCCTGCGCATGTGGATGCAGCATTTGCTCCGGTTATGGCCACAGCATGTGGTACATACATGTGCATGCAGCTTATGTGGTTTACATTGTTTGTTTGTTCTTTTTTTTCAAATTTCATTGTTGTATGGTCATGCTGCTACCTGTGGATTTGACCAAGCATGGTTATGTGGTCTCTGTAAGTCTTCCCCATGTTCCCTTCATTATGTGTCCGTCCTTGCCTTTTCCCTGTTTCAGTCTCCTCGGTGTGAATCAGCTCTCAGGTCCCATCGATCCACTCACCAGCTTGCCGCAACTGCAACAACTGTACGCATCCGGTCATTTTTTTATTGTAAACAAGCTGTGCCTCATACTTGCCGTACTTATTGAGGGCATCATTTAAGGCTGAAGATCAGGTTTAGGGTTCCAGTCGCAAGAAAGCAGGAGGAACGACTGGCCCTAACTCAGTGGCATATTCACCCTATTGGATGCTCCAGTCCAGTCCAGTCCTATGGCATTTCAACCTAAGCTCCAGTCCAGAACGTTGATTAGATCGAGCGGTTATTGCTTTCTCCTCCCTTTCTCCCCCATCACCCTCGCACAACTACCCTCCCACCTGCAAGGCTGCCAGTACTGCCACGATTCTGACCTCCTCACACACCACTGTTGCCAGCATTCCAATGCAAACAATCTTTCACCACCCTCCTGCACCCCTTCTCACAGTCCTCCTTGTCTGTCCCCATAGAAGTTCTGTTGCAAAGCATGGACAAGAGAGAGTGAATACTGACATGGGCTTGCTTTAACAGCGAGCAACGGAAGGGTGCTCATGTTTGTGCCAATAAGAATGTCTACGCATTCAAGGTGATTGGGCGTGCATGTGCGCTGTGCCCCGTGGCCCCTCAGTAATCTGGACCAGAACTCCTTCAACACGTCCATCCCCTCTGACATCAGCAAACTCACTGCGCTTCAATTTATGTGAGTCACGCTAGTGCTCGTTCACCTGTACACATTGCCGTTTTCTTTTCCTGTGCGTATCATTGGCAGGATATTAGGCAGCAGACTTATCGCAGCGAGTATATTGGAATGGAATGTGAGATTGCGAGCCAGTTTGCTGGTTCTCGATTTCGTCCAAAGAGCATGGATGAATCGATCGTAATTTCACACACACCGGAAGCTGGACTCACCAGGCAGCTCTCTAGCCAGGCAGCTCCCCAGCTAGGCAGCTCTCTACTACTGTGCTTAGCCCGCATCAGCAAGGAGCTCTGTGGCTGGAAGACACATACGGAGTGGCGCGAATGCTGCTCACTCTTTTGAATGTTGCAATGGAGTCTGTGGTTGTGGTTGTGGTTGTGGTTGTGGTTGTGGTTGTGGTTGTGGTTATAGTTGTGGTTGTTTCTGGTTGCTGTGGTTGTGGTTCTTGCACATGCATTATGGAGAGAATACTTTAGCAGGCAATTCGTGGGTGTACCGCCAATCCAACTAACCAATCAGTGGAACCGTCCTCCTGTCGTTTCTAAGGAGCTGAGCAAGTCCAATGCCCTCTCTATGCATCACGCAACACATTGCGGAAATCGACCATCCTTTGCCAAGGCACTCTGTTTCCAGATTACCCCCCATTACCTTCCTCGCTTTCCCCTCTCCCCGGTCGTCTGGCCATGCAGGAACCTTGAGAGGAACTCGTTCTATGGAAGCATTCCCTCCTCCATGGGCAGCATGGCAGAGCTCAAGGCGTTGTATGTACCGTGCCGTGCATACAGTATCGTGCTCTCAGTGCGCCTTGCCTCTCACCTTGTTTGGCACTCTATGTTCCTGACTTTCAAATAAGCGTCAACTTACCCGTACGCGCTTACACCTTTTCACAGACCAAATCAATTCACAACAAGACCTTTTCTTGCTAGACGTGTTTATTACTCCAGTTTTGTCTGTCATAGACGTTTCTGTTTTATACATATACGTAGACAAACGAAAGATGCCAACTAAGCTTTTCGGTACCATATTTTAGTGAGTGAGACTTTCCGCATGCCACATACAGTTACTCCAGTTACTATACTTGCCCCTTTGTTCACAACAAGGCCTGTACTTGCTATACCTGTTCTCGCTACTCCAGTTTTGTTTGTGTTGCTTGCGGTTCATTGGCCTCTCTTGTGCTGCCACACATGCCGACCCATGAGGCCCTTTTTCTTTGCTGGCGAGTGCATGCAGGGTGCTACGTTTCAACCAGCTGAGTGGCCCCATACCCGACTCCTTCAGCCGCCTGCACAACCTCTATCAGATGTGAGATGCTCCTCTTCGCCTGTGCTCCTCTGCACCTGTTGCTGGTGTCTCTCTTGAATCATTGCATTAAGTTCATCGCATATGTGGTACCGGAAAGATGCACACGCAATCACTTCACAGAGCACTGCCTTAAAGTGCTTGCTCGCAGAACCCCATCAATCAAGGTCGGACACTGAGCAAGGTGCTTGCTCACCCAAACATTGCAACATGGTATCTCATCACGTGCTGCAACCTGCCACATCTGGCCGTCATTCCGCTCACCTCACGCCTTCCGCTCTGGTCATTATCCCTGTCGCGTGCAGCAAGTGGGATAATAATCAGCTGACGGGGTCCATCCCTGATTGGATAGGAACTCTCTCTGCGCTCAAGACTCTGTGAGTTCTGTCATCCCAACTAGCAACACCTGTGCTTCTGCGTTCTTCGGGGTCGGCTGCAGTCGATGCGAGGTGAAGGAAATTCATTGCCCACTCGCGTCCACATGCTGATCGAACCTGCACATTCTAGTGATGGGTGGTCATGTTAAAAAAAAAACCGAATTGGGGTAAACCGAATACTAAATAGTAGAGTAACTTTCATATGTTGGGCGTCACATGTGAGGGACAACCAACTATGGTGCTTCCATGTATATCCTTGCTGCTCACTTGAGCTACATCAACTTTTAGTCTTAACCTCTTTCCTATCGGTTTGAGGTTTCGTTCAATCACTGTTCACATATGAAGCGTGGTGCATGCTGTGTGTGTGCCGCAATGTGTGTGGTGCCTTGGTAGGTCGCTGACCTACAATGCACTGACCGGAACAATTCCAGCCTCTCTGGCATCACTGCCACGCCTTGACGTTCTGTAAGCATCAATTATGCAGCGTTCCCATCCATGTTTCACATCACACCGTTCCCATCCAGCGTTTATGTCGTTGTTTGCCCAAGACTGCTCAGGGGTATCCATAGAGGTGGAAGGTGAAACCAAAGATGGGTCGATTGGGTTGGGTTGACCATTATCATTGGTTGTCCAGTCAGTGCTGGTTGAGAGCTAATCCCGACCTTAACAATCGTTTAGGACCAAAGAATTGATTCGGGTCGGGATTGGGGGTTTTAACAACAAGGGGAATGAAACCCACCCCAACATCTTCCTACGTACGTGTAACCTACTACAAATACGTGGGGTGCTAGGAAGTACAAACCCCTATAATTCTACGTGCTTCACACCATTCTCATCTCAGATTTCTTGGTGCCAACCATCTTTCGGGAAGCATACCTGCAGCACTGGGTGATATTCTGAGCTTGCAGTACCTGTGAGTCTCCACAGCTCATTGCTGCAAAGCGCATCATGTTTTACCTCATCTTCAGCCTTGCCCGTGGTTTTCCAAGAGGGTGGTGTCAACCCTTTGCTGTGAAATCGCCCACCGTATTTGGACCTGACAAAGTGTCTGCAACGCATAGCGCCAACTTATCCCTCCCCGCGCCGCCCCCCCTCTCCCTCCCCCCCTCTCCCTCCTCCCCCCTTGTCAATCGGTTTATTCTTTTCACCTTGTTCATTCATTGTTCTGGCCCATCCACCCTTTGAACCACAACCGTCCATCTGCTCGGCCCTTTTGCGGGTGGCAGGTGGCTGGGGGTTAATCAGCTGTCTGGATCCATCCCGACAGCCATTGGGAAACTCACCAAGCTGCGGGACCTGTGCGTACCGTAAAGATGCAGTACAGTTGCACGGATAAAGCACAGCTTCCATCCTGACGACTCCATTTGACAACACCGTGTTTCACTCCCTGCATTCAAAGGTTACAAGTTGACACTGTTGCTGCGTGATGTGCGTTCGATGTGCGTGCGATGTGCGTGTGATGTGCATGGACCAAGCAGGGACGTATTTGGCAACCAGCTAGAAGGGACTCTCCCCAGCACCCTCCAGAGCCTCTCCAAGTTGGAATATTTGTACATGTCCCAACACCGCTTTCTTCAACCACTGTCTCTCTCTAATGTTTCTGATATGAGAAGGTTATTTCATGCATAGTTCAACTTTTCTCTTGACTCGTTTGCTCGCTCAATGCTATGGTTTCCGTTCCGTAACACACCAGTTCCCCTGCCTTGGACTAATCTAAAGCCCGTCTTTCTGCAAATCCAATTTTATGTTGTGCATAGGGAGCCTCCTTGGCTCTCGGTTGGTGGCACTACATATTTTTAAATTGTCGGTACCTTCCGGAGTGAACCACCAGCTTATGCCCTGTGCTGTGCACATGCTCACGTGTGTCATTCCTTGCACCCTGCTCTCAGTTCGCTGTCGTTCAATCGGCTCTCAGGCCCCGTGGAGCTCATCATACGAGGCATGAAGAACGTCACTTCATTGTGGGTATCACCACACACCTGCGTACGTGCATAGTCCTAATTTTCTCTCCACCTCATCATTCTCAACCCCAAGCTTGCACAATGATCTCGACTTGCTCTGTTACCCGTGCATCACTGCTGCCTTGGCATGGCAGGTATATCAGCAACAACCAGTTCTCTGGGCGCCTGCCCAGCCCTGCAGCAGCAGGCGTGCAGGCGTACGCTGTTGCTGAGAACTTTTTCTCGCACGGGCAGGTCAAGTTCAGCAACTGCTCTGCGGTCACGTGGAACACGTATTTGAACTGCCTCACGCCTTACAATGGCATCTGCGGCCTTGTTTACACCCAGAGGTCTGCTGCAGACTGTGCTGCGTTCTGTGGGCTGCACGTTGGTGCCACTGGCCCTCTGTGTGGGGGCCATGGCTACTGCTCTCGGAACACCGTTACTGGAGCAGGGGAGTGTGTGTGCGATCCCAACTACATGGTCAGCAGCAGCAACACCAACGTCTGTGTGCCTGGAGGTAAGCACCTTCTTTAAACCAGATGCTCCTGCACACCTGTGGTGCCATGCTACTCATTTTATATTTCTAAGCCTAAGATGAGCATGACATGAAGTGTTGCTACAACCATGCCATTGCAACCCTCCCCTCCAGCTGCACGCTCATCTCTGGCATCTGCCTTGGCGTACGTCTCCCTTGGGGGCTCTGCCTCGCTGCTTTCCAACGGCTCCATTCTGCTCACAAGGGAGGCGGTCAGCCAGCAAGGCTCTGCCTTTGCGTCGCCTGCCATGCGCCTCTTCTACATTCCTGACAAGCGCTCTCCCTGTGGAACTGAGCTGGGCTTCCGAGTTGCCTTCACCTTTGCCATGATCCCCGGGGATCAGGGGACGGGTGGGGACGGGCTTGCATTCGTGGTGGCAGCAGCTGCTCCTGGCAAGGGGGCGAGTGTGGGGCTGGGAGGGGTGGGGAAGCGGAGTGTGGCGGTGGAGTTTGACTCGGTGCTGAGTGTGAAGCACAGCGACCCCAACGACAACCACGTGGGCGTCAATGTGGGCGGCTCACCTGTGTCCCTCGCCTCTGCCACGGCCCCTCTCATCCTCAACGACGCCCACACCAAGCACGCCTGGATCCACTACGACCCCACCAGCGGCGGCACCCTCCGAGTCTTCCTCTCCTCCGACCCCGACCAGCCCCTCACCCCCACCCTCACAGCAAGCGTGTCTCTCTGCTCCGTGCTCAAGCCCACTGCATCCGACTCTCTCTTCCTCTTCGGCTTCGTCGCCCTCTCAGGCAGCCAGCCCCAGAGACATGCCATTTTGTCCTGGAACTTCGTCACAGGTATGCTGCATTGCACCATACCCTTCTCCAGCTGTTTCTGGCTGCATAATTCATCTGCCTGCTACCTTTTTAAATTTCCAATCTTTATTTGTTCGCCTGGAATTTCCCTTGCATTCGTGAGCAGATATTCCCTCTTCTCTGTAAGGCAGTGGTTACACTAGCATCGCACCATCGCTCCGGGGACTGTGAAGCCGGGGGATCCAATACCGGGTAAATACGGTACTTGAGGGGCTGCTGCCCAATATTGCCGCAATAACATTATGTACATTGGGTATGTACGGAGCAAAGATGTATTCGGGTCAGATGCTGCAACTCCCAATTCGGGCCTTTTTTGCACTTGGCGTGCAAATTGTGACTCCAGGCCTTAACTTATCAACACATTCGTACCCATTCATTCGCCTGTAGCAGCCCTTGATGCTGTAGAAGTACTTGACATTGATGTACTTGCAGTCATCCCCTGGTGAGATGGTGTAGGTGCTGGTCCTGGAACAGATGCCCGCTGTGAAGTTGGTCACGCTGCCAATGCACACCTGCAGGCACGAGAGAGGTGGTGTGTGGGGTGGGGTATACAATGCAGGGACAAGCGGGGAGCAACAAAATTCTTGAGTGAATGAAGGACACAGCTTGCATGCAACATTACTAGCACACCGTCAACTCAACTCCGCACGACTTTGCTCTGGGTGCTACCTTTCACGCGCTTCCTCATCACCATGTGCTCACCTTTTAAGTCGGCTCTCAGCTGTTCAGCAACTGATTCCTCCTCACAGCCTCTTCCTTTGGCTCTCCTTCTCCACCTTAGAGCGTGTTCCTACACCTCGTATCAGACACACCTCGAATCAGCTTCGCGTGGTGAAATGTGTTTCAGTGTGTTCGGCTGCGGTTTGGATGTGTTTTAGTGCGGTTCGACGCGAATCTGATACTAGGTGGCCTGATATGAGGCCGTAGGAACACGCTCTTACACTCAATAGCAGTGCATGCAGCAAATTCTCCAGTTGGCTGAACTGCCTCAAGCACGCGCTGTCCGACACTCTTTTGGACTCTGCAGTGCAATTCCTTTTGGTCGTGTCGTCCCTTCTCCCTCGACTTGCAGTGTTGTCTCCATTGACGGCCTTCAGGATGCCATGAAGAACAATGAGCAGACAAGTTGCATGTGGAGTCTGGTTCTGCAACTAATGTGGTCTAACATTGGCATTCGGCCATGTTTAGAACCATTTCATGTTCCAATCGACAACCACATCTCCTGCTGAACACACCACAAGCTGGATTGGGTGCACACCCGACCCCTTAGTTAAGTCCTACGTTGACTCTGGTTTTTTTTTTTTTAACCACACTGCACGCACCCCACTGCATTCACCACACTGCATGCACCACAGTGACTCACCTCAGCGCCAAAGGTGGTGGCGGAGCGTGAGTGGTTGTTGAGGGGGATGAGCTGGTTGCAGTTGACGCCGGGGTTGAGGCGGTAGAAGTCCACGGGGCTGAGAGGAGGCTCGGCCAGCTGCCTGATGCTGTCGCACGTGTCGTTGAGGAGCGCCCGGTAGTACTGGTCGCACACCACCGTCACATTCGCCACCCCGGGGTCCCTCTCCAGGCACACGGCCTGGGAGGGCTTCAGGGAGGAGCAGTCCACAGCGGGGTTGAGCGCCTGAAATGCCGCCTCACACTCCGCATCCGACACCGCCGCCCCACACAGCTCCACCTGCCGTGCCACCCCCGTGCACGTGTCACCCTGAAAGGACATGGGAAGATGAAAGGGTATTACAGAAGGAGGGCAACGAGAGGGCAATAGGGAGTGGCTTTCCACATACGTTTCAAAACTATCAACCATTTTGCTGGTACATAGCAGAACACAAGATGCCCTTTGGTTGTGAAGCGAGAAGGAGAATGTGGCACACTGTCTTTGCGCTGTGCGTGAATACACAGCAATGTACAGCTAGTCCCTGATTGGAACCCTCACAAGCAGGGTGGTGTAGAAGACAGAGCAGGGTTGCACTGTGGAGTTGACGAGCAGACTTGCGTTGAGGCGCAGAGGAGCCGAGCAGACGATGCCCTGAGAGAGATGCAGGGGATGATGAAACATGCAGGGGATGATGGCACATGCAGGGGATGATGGCACATGCAGGGGATGATGGCACATGCAGGGGATGATGGCACATGCAGGGGATGATGGCACATGCAGGGGATGATGGCACATGCAGGGGATGATGGCACATGCAGGGGATGATGGCACATGCAGGGGATGATGGCACATGCAGGGGATGATGGCACATGCAGGGGATGATGGCACATGCAGGGGATGATGGCACATGCAGGGGATGATGGCACATGCAGGGGATCGACTATCACAAGCATGCGTTATGCAGGGATAAAGGAGAATCAAGGATACACATGGGAACCAATGCGGCATGTTTGCAGCAGGCGGCAAGCATATGCAGCAACAGCGGCCTGGTAGGTACCTTGTTCTGCTGCGTGAACTGGTCCAGTGTGAGGGCGAATACGGGATGCACATGGGAGCACCACACGTTGCTCTGCTGCACTGTGTACACCCCCCCTGCATCCCCTGCACCACCATGCCACTCACAACCAATTCCCAGCACAAGTCAGTGGGACTTAGAAGTGGAACATGAGATGCGATAAGAACAATGAGGAAGCATGCACGGTTTACTGCTGCACGCATGCGGACCATTTGAATGGTGGGTGTAACCAAGAGAAAAAAAAAGACAGTGACCAACAGAAGGGGACTGTTATGTTACCAAATGTGCAACATTGCCCGGAACAGAGAAAAATAGATCAGGCAGCAGCAGGGGGTGGTTACCCGGAGCACAGGAGGAGAGCAGCAGAGGGGCGTTACCCGGAGCACAGGAGGAGAGCAGCAGAGGGGTGTTACCCGGAGCACAGGAGGCGGTGTTGGCGAGGGTGGTGCCCTGGATGAACCCCGGGGGACACACACAGGAGTAGCTGCCCTTGCCATCGTTCACACACGTGCCCACCACACATGGGTTGCGAGTGCTGGACCCACACACGTCCACTGGGGGCGAGGGGAGAAGAGTGGGGCCGGCAATGGGGTATGCATGGACATTGTCAGCGGGCATCGGGATGTGCATGGGGAGGGCATCGGGATGTGCATGGGGAGGGCATCGGGATGTGCACGGGGAGGGCATCGGGATGTGCATGGGGAGGGCATCGGGATGTGCATGGGGAGGGCATCGGGATGTGCATGGGGAGGGCATCGGGATGTGCATGGGGTGGGGAATGCATGCTGTGTGCATGGGCAGGGCATGCGGTGTGCATGGGGAAGGCATGATGTGGGTATGGTATGAGGATATGGGTGCAGGCATAAACATAAGCAGACATTGGCCAAGTGCAGGTTGAAGTCTAGCTAGCGGGGTTGTGCATTTCAAAGCAGAAGGACCCAACCGATAGGCTGAACAAAAAACTCCATTAAGAGCAACTTGAATGGACGCACTAGTCCGCACACCACTACCAATGCCCCCCCTGGTGAGAAATACCATAGGCACAGGTGTACGACCCATCGGTGTTCTTGACTTGAGCAAAGCGGGCGTCAGTGCACTTGCAGCGATTGCTGGTGCCCTTCTTGCTGCAGTTGTACCACCCGCACGGGTTGAAGGCGGGGCCTTGAATGCTGTACTGGAAGGAGCGTGACCCACACGGATCAGCACTGCCTGCTCATCACATCAGGTGGGAATGGGGTGTGGGCACACGGCAAATGTGGTATGGTAAAGACAGAGGGGAAAATCACCAGCTGCGAGAATATGGATGCTCAAAACAGCAAGATATCGTGTCAGCCGTACTTCTGACGACAGGGAAGAGGCCCGGGAGAGTGTTGATGCCGCAGATGCCGTCGCCACTGCGAATGTCCATGCGCATGTGGCCCTGGTCGCCCCAGGCTGTGCCCCATGAGTTGCGGATGATCCAGAAGGGCGGCAGCACGGCGGAGTTGGAGGGGTCGGAGCCCGCAGAGAGGTAGCCCACCACCAGCACCACGTGGTTCAGGTGGTTGCTGAAACACTCCTCGTCCGCATACTTGCCTCTCTGCCCACACACACACATGACCACAATACACATGGAAACATGGGCATACAACAAAAGGCAGCTGGAAAGAGATACTGTATAGTTCCGGCTATAAGACCCGGGGGACTCTCTACAAATGCTTAAGAATATGTTTGAGTGGACATTATGGCGGCAACAATTTTTTAAGACCCGGGGTACACTTATTTATCTGTTAGCAATCTGATATTTAGGGTGTACGACCCAATTTGGGGCGGGGGGGTCTTATATTCGTAAAGAATTCGCGCAGATTTCGCGCGCGCGGCGCGTCGGATCTGTGTCAGAATACAAGTTTGACACAAATGAAGTGTCAGAACTCAATTCTAACACAAAAAGCGTGTCAGAATTCGAATTTATGCTAGTAAAAGCTGACGCACAATAGCAATAATAACTACTGTATACAGACAAGGGGGGTCTTATAATGATAAGGGCTAAATGGGGGTCCTCACAAAACCTGCCACAATAAGAGTCCCCCTACCCATTCAAGAGTCCCGGGGGACCTTCTTACCGGCAGGTCTTTTAGCCGGAACTATACGGTATGTGCAACATGTCATAAGCAGTGTTGAGCACAATCTTGCCTCTCTGCCCGCACACACACATGATCAACATGCCCCCACCTTAGGAGTCGATCCAAAAAGGTGGGGCCGGCCAGTGGTAATGGCGGCATGTCTACTAACCCGCCATGAGTTCTTCAGGGTAGGCTACTCCAGCTCCTCTTCAGTGGGCGAACCAATGAGTTTGTTACAGACTCGACCCCATTATCTTTTAACAACAGAACGTCCTAATCTCTTCTCAATTCGGATTTGTAGCGCTTAGCCCGTCGTAGTCTTGGATGGAGGGGGGTGTCTTACCCATCGTAGTCTTGAAAGGAGGGTGACTTACCCCATCGTAGTCTTCGAAAACGGGTGCCTTACCCCATCGTGGTGTTGGAAGGAGGGTGCCTTACCCCATCATAGTCTTGGAAGGAGGGTGCCTTACCCCATCGTAGTCTTGGAAGGAGGGTGCGTTACCCTATCATAGTCTTGGAAGGAGGGTGCCTTGTCAGAATATATTTTATATATATTTCTGTATAATTG